ATATTGACTTATATTAAATAATATTTTACTCTTTATTTGTGTTATGTTTAAATGTTAAAAACTTATTTATTTTAATTATTTATTATTGATTGATTGATTTATTTTTAATATAGTGGAACTACATTGGGTTGGGTTAGGTTTTGATTGATTTGGTTCTAGGTTAAAAAATTTGGAACCAATCATGATTGAATTGGTTTCAAATTTTGTACCAAACTGATCCATGAACACCCTTAGCATGTACCATAGAATTTCCCTTCATATATTGACACCTTTAAATTTAAAAATTAAAAAGTAATTCTACCTTATTTAGTACTGTAATTTTGTAATTAAACTGTAGTAATTAGATATTATAAAATAAAAAAAATATTGTAGAAAAAGATAAATTATAAAAGCTATTAAAAAAAAATATGAATTATAGTTGTTTAAAAACAAAAAGTATAATAGGAAGATATGGTTGTGATAAAAAATCAAAACTATTGCTTAAAAAGACAAAAATGATATTAAAAAAATAGAAAAAAAATCCAAAAGAAAGGATTGATTTTTGAAAAATAAAAATAAAAATTAGAACAAATATATTATAAAGAAATTTAATAAATTCACAGAAAATATGAAACTTCCATGTCCAGAAAGAAAATCTCTTACGTTGTACTTGGTTGGGAGATTTGAGAATGAATTTAAAAAGGGAAATAAAAAAGTTGTGTGAATCTAAATAAAATGTAGGTATATTGTATTACGTTTCACCTATTTTTTCTTTTTCCCTTTTCAAATCTCACAATTAAACACAACATTAAAAAATGCAAATATTAATTTTGTAGAGGAAGTAGACCTTTTACAAATAAATGTACTAACAAATAAAAAAAAATATGTTAAATAAATTTTACTTTTTTAAGACAAATAGAAATCCATATGGAAATATATGAAATAGAATGTGATAATGAAATAAAAAAATTCATGTCAAAATATGAATGAATATTGGCGTTGCTTGGGAGATTGGCTATTTTAGTAGGGCATTTAAATTTTTGACTATTTTAGTAGGTTAAAATAATTATATTTGGAAAGATGGTTAGATATTTTTATAGTTGGATGTGATATTTGTGAGAAAATAAATAAAATGATTATAAATTTGATGTGACATTTTATTTTAAGGCACTCGACTGAGAAATCCAATTTTAAATTTCCTTGGTCTAAAGATCCAGCACTGATTTTCTTTGCCTATAAAGACAAGCATATGTAAATTGACTAATACACCCTTCTATATATAAACCATATACAACACTGTCCAAACCTTAAACATTCACACTCCTCTCTCTTTCTCTCTTCTTTGCCTCACACGGCGACAACGACACCGACTCCATTGCCTCAACCCCCCTCTCTCTCTCACACACACACACACACACACACACACACACACTTACTTACAAGCCCTAATTTTCTCTCTTTAGAAACCCTAGTTCTGGCATGGAGGCTTTCGGATCAGAAGCACTCAGTGGTGTCGACGGAGCGGAGAACGACAATGAGAGAGCAGAGGACCCCTACCGTTGGCGCCCAACGCCACATCGGATCACCGTTGATTTCAGTAACGAGATCGCCTTCGTTGTCAAGGCAATAAGATCATCTTTGCTTTCGTCGTCGATCTCAACAACGAGATCCACCACTACTTCTGCCCCAGCAACGCTGTGATCTCATCGTTGGGCTACGCTGTCGCTAGCTGTTTCGAAGCCATCGAGATCTACATACTTTTCTCTCTTTATACATATGTTCATAGATTGATAGGCTTTGTTTGGTTTGTTTCTCAGAAAAATTTTCTACAAACAAATTTTCAAGAGTAATCAAACCAAACAAACTTTTCCAACAAAAATCTCAAAATTTTGTTTGGTTACCTACTTTCCAAAATCACACACTCTCTCTCATACACATCAAATCAATCATTTTTTTTAAAACTCTCTTCCCAAAATAATTTTTTAAAATCATTTTTGAAAAAAGACAAACCAAACAAGTTTTCGTACTTTTTATCTCAAAAACTACTCTACAAACCAAACATACCCATAGTGTTTGAGTTCAAGATTTGGTCATATATATATATTTGGTTCATAGATTTGATCAGATACAATTTTCCATGCAAAACCATATATTATTTATATACATGAAATGCAATCTGACTTTTTCCCAGATTTGTTAATGCTTAACTTATGAAGAGGTATCTCAGTAACTTGAATTATATGTGTTGTTGGGCCCAAATCGAATGATAGCAATTTTAGTAAATGAATTTTTTTCACTCAATGCTTCACCAAGTCTTTTATCAAATTCAAATATTGATCCATTTGTATGTATAGGTATTGTTGTTGTTGTGTGTGTATTTCAACTGTTTGATGATTTGTATTTGAATAGATAAAAATTTGATGATGATAATGAAACAAACATATGCTTTTTATTTGTGCAAACCAAATTTTTGCAACTAAAATTTTTATAAATAAATGGTTGCCTTTGATTTGTCCAAATTAAATAGGGATTTTTTCAAGAGAGAAATAGATACGGGAAAAAATAAGAAATTAAACAGATAAAAAATGAATAGATAGTGTACGGGGGGCAAATATTCCAGCAAGCCCGTACTCCTTTCTTCCGAGCTCCGTTTTTGTCCGATCACCTGCGAGCAAGTAACGGTGAGCTACCCGGCGGTGTGTGGCCGGAAAACCCCTCCGACGGTCAAGTTAGCACACACCTTAGGATAAAGAGAGAGAGAGAAGAGTGTTAGAGTATAGAAATTCCTTACAGAATGTTCGTCTCTCGTGTATGGGGGGCGCAGACATGCTTATATACCCTCTGCGCTCCATATCCACTCCCAGTCATCTTCTGACACGTGGCTCCGCTATCCCATCTGTCAGCATAAACCTCGCTGAACATCACCTAATCTCAACTGCCTGCCTTCTCAGCTGGAGCTCGGCAGCCGAGCTTCTCTATCCACGGCCGTGCTATGCTTCATACCCAAGCACTTCACTGGCTAAGCCCAAGGAGGACCGGGCTAGGCGGCATCTCGGCAAAGCCTAGCCCGGGGCACCTCCTGTGGTCGGCCGTCCTGCCGATCAAACGATTACCTCGGCTGACTACGCCTTTCCGGGCGCCAGTCACTCAGCTTGACTGGCTCCACCATCGCCTGATCAAGCAGCTCGTTCCAACCGAGCACTGCCTTGCCGAGCAGCTTCTTTACGGTCTGGGACGGCACATACTTGGTCCAACTCCTGCCCGGCCCAAATCCTGGTAGCCCATCTCCGAGCGGATCGCCGGTCATCTCGGCCCCATGCACCATTAGGCTCTTAACCTGCTCGGCCGTTGCCTCGGCCCAATTTACCTCGGCTGACTACGCCTTTCCGGGCGCCAGTCACTCAGCTTGACTGGCTCCACCATCGCCTGATCAAGCAGCTCGTTCCAACCGAGCACTGCCTTGCCGAGCAGCTTCTTTACGGTCTGGGACGGCACATACTTGGCCCAACTCCTGCTCGGCCCAAATCCTGGCAGCCCATCTCTGAGCGGATCGTCGGTCATCTCGGCCCCATGCACCATTAGGCTCTCAACCTGCTCGGCCGTTGCCTCGGCCCAATTCCAGATCATAAATCTCCCTCTCAGATAGAAAAATAAATTATAAAAATTCAACAGATGAAAATAATTTAACAGATAAAAAAATATTTTAACAGATAGACAAAAAATTTAAATAGATAAAAAAACTTAAATAAATAGTCAACAAAAGCCAACAAATAAAAAAAGTCAACAAGGGTAAAATTAGAAACAAAATGTCATTTAAAACCAATAAAACAATTTCTCGCCAAATTATTTTACAAAAGGTAAACCTATTATCAAGAAAAAATATTCACTAGACCTACTGATTTTGACACTCTCTAAATTAAATTTATCACCATTTTTTTATATTTTATTGATTATTGTAATTTATTTTATCTTTTAATACTATTTTAATTTTAAAAAATCAAAAAAGTCTTACAAAATGCATGACAGATAAAGAAATTCAAAAAAAAATTCCTAAAAAAATATTGATAGGCGCCACTTGAATGAACACTATGGCCACGCGCTTGAAATTAGGGGTGGGCACGGGTTAGTTGCGATCATAAAAACTTTTAATTTGCCATCTGTCTGTTAGATTAGTGGATTAGAGAAAATCAATCTGTATCTGTCTATCAATTTGGCGGATATGAATTGAGCGGATTTGGTGGATGGATGCGAATCGATTCGACGGTTTAAAATTTTATAAATTTTCAACATAATTCAACTTGTATACTTTCTAAAAAAAAAATATTACAGTTAATGACTTAAAAAAATTTATAATTACTGCATGTCTCATCCACATATTATAATCACAGCATGCCTCATCCACATAAAGTATTACAATATGTGATTTTTAAAATATAAAAACAATTCAAACTACCAAAATCTTGAACACAACAATAGTAAAGATTGTATGCCTTTGTATTATTACATCTATATCTTTTTTTGAAAATAAAAACAACCAACATGTATCATCTTTTTTATTTATTATTTTTAGAGTTAGATTTAAAAACTAAAAAATATAGATAAATAATATATTTATTTTTTTCAATTCAAAAAATATATTCAAGTTGAAAACTCTTTTTTAATAGAATATTTAAACTCTTTTTCAATTAAAAATATAAACAGAATATCTAAACAAATTGAAAACACAAAGTCTTACAAATTACTAGGGTGCTCGCGATTTGGCGGTTCGGTTACGGCCAAATGAATCTCAAATCTATCATCCATCCAAAACTAGGCAAATTGAAAAAAATCAATTCACAACCGCCTATTTATCATCACGCATTCATTTAAAATGAGACAAATCGATTCAGTACGGTCGATTTGAGCGGATAAGTATATTTACAATCACCCCTATTCGAGATAATCAACTCGAGATAATCAGGCAGTGACCATCCGCAGCGAAACGAACGACGTCGTATTTTCCTTCTCACTTCTTAATCCTCTCTGCTCAAAAGAAAAGAAAAGAAAAGAAAGTTGAGACCCTATCCCAACTCCCACTGTCTTCTTCCTCTTCTTCTAGTATGGTATGGCATGAGAATCTTAGCTGTTAATAATAATTCATAATAATCTCTTCACTATTTCTCTACCTACATCAAAATCCACGAACAAAATGTCCGCCATTTCTCTCTCTAAATTTATCTCCACACTCACAGACATCTCTCCACCCTCTTCTTCGATTTCCTCAACAACTCCATCCACTGTTTCGAGATTTTCCACTTTATACGCTTCACCTTTCGTCAAATTCCCTACTTCTTCTTCTTGCCCAGCATCGGCAAGAAGAAGGAGAAGAAAAACCCTAGTTTTGTCAAAGTCGTCCGAAGAAGCAGAGGTCTCTGCTGCAGAAGAAGACGACGAGTGGCTCAAGAGGCTACCTGACAAGAAGGAGCCTTTGTACTCTCACAGCTTACCTTGCGTTGAGGCCTGGTTGAAGCAATTAGGGTTTTTCCAGAGTAAAGACGATCGAGCTCTTTGGTTCGTCGAAAACCCCGATTGGCACGCTCATCTTTCTCTTGATGTCACCGACCTCTATATAAGGTATATATATATAAATTGTTGAAGTTCAAGTTTTTAAGGTTTTTTGCGCTTGCTTTGGTGTTGTTCAATCCATGTCTCTCTGATTTTGTGTTGTTTAGTCCCAAGTTAGTGGTGAATTTAGGATTTTGTGGAGTTTGTTTTTGCGGATTTGTTTTCGTATTATTCAGAAGAGGGCTCTGGTGGGTGATGGCTTGTGAATTTTACTTGTGTCATTTTCATGCCACAAATTACTGTTTGATTGATAGTGTGTGTAGCTTTTCACATTTCAGTGTCTCAAATGAATTAAGGTCTTGAATCGATCAATGAATAGTGTAGATAGGGCTCCTAATTTAGTCAATCAATTGCGCCCTATCTACACTATTCATTGATCGATTCAAGACCTTGACCTTCATTTCAGTGTTTTGGCAGTTGATTGACTAAATTAGGATTTTGTTTTCCAGACGTTTGCAAAGAAAGTTATGTTTTGGATTTTTATTTTTTTTTTAAATGGGAAAGAAAGAAATTTTTTTTATTGTTGGGTATTGTTGGTTGGTTGCTAATGAACTGGCTTCTGCATGCACAGTCTTTATCTACTAGAATTTGTAAATAGTCACTATTTTTATTGAAAAGTCCCTATTTTTTACCCTGGATCAATAATTTGCGAAAGTGCATGCTGATAAAAATAAAGCATGTTTTGGTCAGTAAAACTTCTTTGATCAATAATACTTATATGGCATGTTTGATTGGAAGGATTAAAGCATGGGATTAGGATTATTAATCCGTGGGCCCAATCATCCTATGTTTGTTTTGACATTTTAGTTTAGGACTATTAATCCAATGGATAATTAATCCAACAAATTTGTAGGATTATTAGTAATGGGGTAGGGGTAGGATAGTTAATACCACACTAATTTGATAGGATTATTAATACCTCACTATTAGTATTGTGAATCAAACATACAAATAGAATTTGTGTATAGAATGATGTGGCATCTTGTGATCCATGCATTCCAAATCAAAACATCCACTACATGGCTATAATTTTAAAATATGCCACTTCCACATCAATCTAAATGAGTTTTATGTATAAAATATCTGTTTGTAGATTATTTTCCATACCAACTAAGTATTTTAGTCAAAAAGTTAAAAAATCATTATAAGTTGTCACATCACTCATTCTACTTTTCTGCACATCTTTTTGTAAAAAGTCAAAAAGTTACTAAAATTGTCTATTCCCAAATGAGTGATTCAAAATTCATTGGTGGATGTATTAGTTTTGTTGAAAGATCACATAAGATGCATGTTTTTTACTATTTATGGTATCATTATCTTCATCTTCATCTTCCAACCAAAAAGATCATAACTGAGAAAAAGGAGGATGACAAAATTTTTCTTTTTGACTTCTTGTATTTTACAAAAAATTATGCATGTTTGAGTTTTTCTTAGAAGGTTTTCCAATAATTAATTTTTGATATAATCCAGAAACCTATTAAAATCAGGTTAACAGTCTGCCGGAAGGTATGGATGGAAAAAGTATGATTGGAAACTTTAGCTTGCATAATTTTTGTAGCCTTGTTCCTAATTGCCATTGTTTGCCTGACTGGATCTATAGCCTCAAAACTCGTGTGTCAAATGGAAAATATGTGGAAACTTTGGCTTGAATCGGTTTCTAGTGTCGGTTATTGTTGTTATCGTTGTAGGTGTATATTTGTTCAGGCAGAGGCTATTTTCAAAGCCATTATGGCTGTATGATGTATCCACTACAGCCTCACACTCGCATATGTTGTCCCATATATGTGATTGTTGCCTATAGGTCTTCTCATCATGGCTATGGAAATAGAACTTCTAATTATTTTTTTAAGAAAATGGTAGGGCCAGTTTTCTTCTGGATACTAAAAGCAAACCATTGTTGCATAGAACTGCACCCCTTATATGGTCACTTAACCTACCCAAAATATACACAAGGTGAAAAAAGGTCTAAATAATCCATTTAAAAATTCATGAATGGAAAGTTTGTTAAATACTTAACTCCACATGATGAATTTATATCCTAAAAATCAGTTCTCCTTGTTTTGATCTGGTGTTTAGTTAACGTATGATATATCAGTTTCATTTGTTTATTTTTTATATTTATTTATTATTTATTGTAAATATAAGGAAACCAGGAAGTGAATATATCTTAGGGTAGCCCTATTTCCCAGGCTAAAAAATTGTGGAAGGGGAAAAGTGCCCCGTCAAGATATAATAATGTACTTGATTTGGAGCATTCTCATCATGTCACAAAATTTTCCCTGGCAATAGGCCACCCTATATCTTATTTCGTTTTTAAAATTTTCACCCACCATCCAGGATTACTATTTGAAATGCAGGTACCTGAAGAGTGGACCTGGAAATCTTGAAAAAGATGTAGAGAGAAGATTCAGTTATGCACTGAGTAGAGAGGATATTGAGAATGCCATTCTTGGAGGACCATAAGGAGGATAACACGAGAGTCAATTTTTGTTTAGTATTCATGGTTTTCCTTCCTGCCATCACTAGAAAGACTCCACAGTTGCAGTGTTAGTTCGTCTTTCAATATTTGTTACTTTCTGCTCTTCTCATGTAATTTATTTTGCTAGTATCAATCATATATTCAGTATGTTCCTTTTTAATCATCAATCCTGTAAAGTAAACCATGTCAAAATAAAATTTCTGGTTTATGTTGATTGGCTTTACCATAATGTCAACCGAAACACTTATTGGAAATGCGGAAAATGCTTATGGAATTCAATCAATCATTTAGGATATTCTTGTTTCCTTCTAGTCGTTAATAATATTAAGTACATTGAAAATGTAATGACGGGGACCTTTTTTCAGTAGTGCTTGTTTGAAGATGTCATTACCAATTTTGTTGTGGTTGTGGGAGCTTTCTATTTATTGCAAGGAAACAGGAGGGCTCCCCAGTCCCCGCAGCCATTATTTTATTCCGTCACCTAGCTAATAATATTCTATCCTTCCCTAACTTCTATCCTGTCCGTGGTTCTTCCATCCTAAAATGAAGGGGAGGGGGAGGAATTTGATTGCTTAAGATTGGAAAGTTAGAAAGTCAGTTATTTGGTAAAAGATATGTATGGTAAGGATGGATAGGCCGATCTGTTTTGGAATGCTCTTTGTTGGCACGCTGTTTCTTTTGTTATGTTTTTTGTAACCCTTAGGTTAAGAGTTTTTTCATTCAATTGTCCAAGAATGCCTGTGCAAACGTTGTCTAATAAATTTGGAAAATGTTCACAACAGGGATTATGCAGTTAATCTATAATGCCCGGTTGTTTATCAGAAATGAATATATTTAACATCAAGATCCTAGGTTAGTCTTGGGAGTCTGCTCTGTCTGTCCTATTGATTGGCTGGATCACCAAAGCACATTCAGTATATGTACAATAAAAGAACAATTCAAATAATTGAGTGAAAAGAAATGTGGCATTAACAAAAGTGAGTCGGCAGAAAGCCTTAAGAAAGAGCATGTAGCAAAGAGTGAGTCTGCAGAAAGGCTAAAGAATGCACTCCAAAGCAATGTTGTGTTTAAGAAAGAGCATGTAGCAAAGAGTGAGTCTGCAAAAAGGCTGAAGAATGCATTCCAAAGCAATGTTGTGTTTGAGATAAATGATAACCTACACTGCCTTACCAAAAATGGGTGCACAACACCCACCGAATACAGCAAGATACATTACACACAATGGCAAAATGGGATAGGATTTTCCGGTCCCCAACCTATTCCATTTTAAAAGGGTCTCCATTGTTATTCTAATACTATATATACATCCATCCCATTTGACAGTTTCTACCCTTTACTGTCCAACTTTTCCTCCTTCTGATCCCTCAAACCCAATTTAGAAAGGCTCTTGAGAGTTCATAGTTTTCACTGGCTATCTATATGATGCAAACCTTCCAACCTCAGGGCATGGACTGACTGTGAAAAGATGGGATTTTCAAACATGATACTGGTAGAATCGCCACATATGAGTACCGGCAACATAAGACATTATGGTAAGCATCAATGAGATTCTGCAGAGTGATAATGAGACCAGTATTCCTTGACAAGTCGCCCAAACAGTGAACCTTCTGTTTTCATTAACTTCATTGGCTCATCATACTCTACCAATTTTCCTGTAAAAAGAATATAAAACATTGGCTTCAGAATTCCAGAAGGCTCCAAAATGAGAGTAATTGCAGGAAGTGCTATTAGGTGAGGATTGATTGAAAAGGACCAAAAACACTCACCATCGCTCACAGCCAGAACCATCGTGCAATCCATCACAGTTGGTATTCTATGGGCCACGGTGATCACTGTGCAGTCCGCAAACTCAGTCCTGATGGTTCTTTGTAAAATCAAATCGGTTGCATTGTCAATTGATGCAGTAGCTTCGTCGAGCACCAATATCTTGCTTCTCCTCAATAGAGCACGCCCCAAGCAAAACAGTTGCCTCTGTCCCATGCTCCAATTCGAACCATCATCCGCAACTGAATTTAGGAAGAGAGAGAGAAAGAGAGAGAGAGAGAGAGAGAGGATCTGAATGTTAAATTTACTCGGAAAAGGTAAATGGATCTGAGTGTTAAAATTTTGGCTTCTCACCCAAGGAGTCTAGGCCATCTTCTTTCTCCACAACAGCATCTCTGAGCTGACACTTCCCAAGAGCCTTTTAAAATAATAAAAAATATCATATGGTTAGAAATAGCTAGCTAACACAAATAAAAAAGAAGACCTTTTCTTAATATAATCATTGTTCTGAGTCAATAGATCGATAACCTTCCTAATGCTAATACTACACCACACACAACATGTACACAACAAAGGATTAAGAAATTACCTCCCATATTTCGTGATCGGTATGTTGAGATAAGGGATCCAAATTGTATCTCACGGTTCCATTAAAAAGAGTAGGATCTTGAGGTATAATCCCAAAACGTGACCTTAAATCATGAAGTCCAAGCGTAGATATGTCAATTCCGTCTACCACAATCTTGCCCCCTACAGGCTCCACTAGACGAAATAAAGCACCTATCAGAGTTGTCTTCCCACTGCCAGTTCTTCCAACAATACCAATTTTGTGCCCTCCTTCAAATGTGCAACTTATCCCATGAAGAACAAGTGGTGCATCAGGCCTATATCTGATCTGTTTTGACATCATGTATATATTTCTCAGTCAGTGTGCTACTGTCCTTCGTCAGTTTAAATGCAAGTGCACAAAAAATTTACCTGCAAATCTTGAATCTCCACTTTACCCACAGTTGGCCAATTGACAGGGGGTCGGTTCTCTTCTATCACTTCTGGAGCTTCACTTGGTATGTGCATATATTGGTTGAGCCTTTCCACAGAAATTATGTAATTTGCTAGAGTGCACTGGTTTTGAATGGACATAACAAAGGACATGTTCAATGAGAGACCATAGGACAAAGCCATTCCAATAAATCCTGCAAAAATAACACAAGGTAATGAGAAACATCGTATAAAGAATCAATTGCGGCCATTATATTTATTATTCTATTAATTCATTTCCAACAGATATGCAGTTTATAGAGCACACTATTTTTTTCTTGTTCATATCTATTTTTTGTCTTTAATATTAGTCTATGCTATCTATTTCCACCTTACTTTCTCTTCTTTCCCCTTATGTCTCAACAATCTATATATCTGTAAATTTGAGATTAATCCTTGCTTGGTTATCATTTTTCAAAAACACTTTTCAAAAAATTTTACTTTTTTATTTTTCGTGTTTTTTTATTTTTACTGAATTTTTTTAATATTTTGAGTAATTTTTTTTAATTTTTAGACATACCGAACATAAATATACCTAAGAGTAATTGCAGGAAGTGCTATTAGGTGAGGATTGATTGAAAAGGACCAAAAACACTCACCATCGCTCACAGCCAGAACCATCGTGCAATCCATCACAGTTGGTATTCTATGGGCCACGGTGATCACTGTGCAGTCCGCAAACTCAGTCCTGATGGTTCTTTGTAAAATCAAATCGGTTGCATTGTCAATTGATGCAGTAGCTTCGTCGAGCACCAATATCTTGCTTCTCCTCAATAGGGCACGCCCCAAGCAAAACAGTTGCCTCTGTCCCATGCTCCAATTCGAACCATCATCCGCAACTGAATTTAGGAAGAGAGAGAGAGAGAGAGAGGATCTGAATGTTAAATTTACTCGGAAAAGGTAAATGGATCTGAGTGTTAAAATTTTGGCTTCTCACCCAAGGAGTCTAGGCCATCTTCTTTCTCCACAACAGCATCTCTGAGCTGACACTTCCCAAGAGCCTTTTAAAATAATAAAAAATATCATATGGTTAGAAATAGCTAGCTAACACAAATAAAAAAGAAGACCTTTTCTTAATATAATCATTGTTCTGGGTCAATAGATCGATAACCTTCCTAATGCTAATACTACACCACACACAACATGTACACAACAAAGGATTAAGAAATTACCTCCCATATTTCGTGATCGGTATGTTGAGATAAGGGATCCAAATTGTATCTCACGGTTCCATTAAAAAGAGTAGGATCTTGAGGTATAATCCCAAAACGTGACCTTAAATCATGAAGTCCAAGCGTAGATATGTCAATTCCGTCTACCACAATCTTGCCCCCTACAGGCTCCACTAGACGAAATAAAGCACCTATCAGAGTTGTCTTCCCACTGCCAGTTCTTCCAACAATACCAATTTTGTGCCCTCCTTCAAATGTGCAACTTATCCCACGCAGAACAAGTGGTGCATCAGGCCTATATCTGATCTGTTTTGACATCATGTATATATTTCTCAGTCAGTGTGCTACTATCCTTTGTCAGTTTAAATGCGAATGCACAAAAAATTTACCTTCAAATCTTGAATCTCCACTTTACCCACAGTTGGCCAATTGACAGGGGGTCGGTTCTCTTCTATCACTTCTGGAGCTTCACTTGGTATGTGCATATATTGGTTGAGCCTTTCTACAGAAATTATGTAATTTGCTAGAGTGCACTGGTTTTGAATGGACATAACAAAGGACATGTTCAATGAGAGACCATAGGACAAAGCCATTCCAATAAATCCTGCAAAAATAACACAAGGTAATGAGAAACATCGTATAAAGAATCAATTGCGGCCATTATATTTATTATTCTATTAATTCATTTCCAACAGATTTGCAGTTTATAGAGCACACTATTTTTTTCTTGTTCATATCTATTTTTTGTCTTTAATATTAGTCTATGCTATCTATTTCCACCTTACTTTCTCTTCTTTCCCCTTATGTCTCAACAATCTATATATCTGTAAATTTGAGATTAATCCTTGCTTGGTTATCATTTTTCAAAAATACTATTCAGAAAATTCTATTTTTTTATTTTTCGTGTTTTTTTGTTTTTATTGAATTTTTTAAATATTTTGAGCAATTTTTTTAATTTTTAGACATATCGAACATAAATATACTTAAAAAGTAAAAAAATTGAAAAAAACCCTTTTAAAAATTCACAGGCCAAGTTTGGGAAGACTAAAAAAGTGCACTTTTTGTCTTTTTGGACTAAAAAATTGAGGTTGAAAATATGGATGTTTGGGTTAACTTTTTGACTTTTTATTGAAAAATGTGTAATAAAAAATTGTAAAAATTGATTTGTAGGGAAAAATTTGAATTGAGAGTTGTGCAGCCGTAATTGTTGACTTTTGATGAATAAGTTGTGCAGCCGTAATTGTTGACTTTTGGTGAATAATGTTAACTTTTTAACTTTTTGAATAACTTTTTAGCTTTTTGACTTTTTTTAAAGTCCCCAAACTTGGCCTAAATACCAAAAATACAAGAAAAATACGAGAATTCAGTACATTTTTTGTATTTTTATATATTTATTAATTTTTAAAAATATTTTTTTGCAATTTTTTTACTTTTTAGATACATCTAAGTAAAGTTTATCTAAAAAGGTAAAAAAAATGTTTAAAATTTTAAAAATATTCACTAAAAACAAAAAAACACGAAAACCAAAAAATTCAATTTCCAAAAAGCTTAATTCAAAAAACCCAAAACAAACACCCTGATAATTTTGATTCCGATGCACCCTAATTTGTTTGGGATATAGCAATGATAACAGTAAAGGAAAATTAGATAAATACCCACCAGAGCTGAAAGTTCCAGAAGGGAGCAAAACCATGCACAGTGCTGATGAGGAGAGAACAACTGCAGTAAGTGTTTCGAGCCGCTGGATCAACCACTCATTTGCTGCAAAACTGTGGAAAAATGGACTAGCATTTACATCAATGAGGTCAAGATTCTTCACAAAGAACCGATCTTCCTCCTCAAAAGCTCTTATTGTCATGGATCCTGCTATGGACTCAGCGAGATGGTTTGCTACCAAAGACTTGGTTGTGCCATTGAGCCGCATCAATTCTTTCGCAGTGGCAAAGTAGTATCTCTGCGAATAATGCAAGTTTCCAACAATTTTAGTAGTTGAGATTTGAGATTTAACACATGCAGAGTGACAAATCCACTCATAAGGAGGAAAAAGAAGCAGCAGGACACAAGAATTATCACCTTCCGCTTCATAAAGTTTCTGCAACATTGATTGTATTTAATTTGTTTTTCTACTTCCGTTGATTCATCGGTTCACATACCAATTCACCCAACCACTTTGTATTGATTAGGGCTCGAACCGACTCAAATTATAAGCTTTGAATTGTGAGTCATGATTTTAACAACTATGATCATTAATAACACCAATTGCCAAAAAAATCCTAAATCTCCTGATTGTCAACGCTTGCTTACTAAATTTCTTTCATATCCAATTGTCATATTATGTAGGAGATTTAAATAGCAGAAAATATTCCTTGTTAAAGAACCTCCTAAGGATTACCTGTATGCGAATTGCAAAAAGAACCATTGGTACGGAGACAAACAGGACTGGCCAAGTAACAACAGCTAACACCGCAAGATTAGAATACGCATTTGTGGTAGCCCCAACACAGAAGATAAAGCTAAATGGAACATCAAGATCAACAATACTCAAATCAGATGACACCTACATGAAAGGAAAAAAAAAAACAAAAAAGTGAAGATTAGGAAAGCTAGTTTCATGAATATCCTTGATATGCCAAAACACAATTCATACTTAGTGTTTGAGACACTTACTCGACTCAGTATCCTTCCCAGAGGCGTAGAATCATAAAATGACATGGGCGCACGAAAAAGGGAGTTTAATAACTGTGAAAACAAAGATTTTGATGATTGCAGACCCAAAGCAACTGTGGATAGAGATCTACCGAGCAAAAATATTGTCGAGGTAAATCCAATTGCCAAGTAAACTGTAATCAATTGCAATGTGCTGACTTGAGGATTTTCAACATTTGCAGCCATCCAAGAGTTCTGTAGTATCTGACCAATCACAAATGTAAGGTGACAAAGAGCAGCCATGGAGAAAAACAAGTAGCCTCTGTTCTGATTTAAATACTGTATATAGGGCTTCAATCCAATGTCTCCTACTTCTCTCTCTTCTTGTTTAATCAACTGATCACCTTCAGATGCTTTAGATTTCTTCTCGATATGTGTCTTCTTGATCTCTTTGGCTGGAGTTTTAGACTTCTTGGATACCTCTACAACCCTTTCGGAGCCAGCAGTCTCTTTGTGTGCATTGACAAGGTCCTGAAATTCTTGACTCGAGGCCAATAACTCGTGATAAGGAGCAGCATGTAGGATTTCTCCATCTAACATCAACTGTCAACAAAAGTGAACTTTATTACAACTGAATTGTGTAGAAGTGATGAATGTTAACAAAATTGAATGTTCACTTGGCTATGCACACAAAATGTGTAAAAGTGTCAAAAAAAAGTCACCATTTCATGGGAAAAGAAAATTGGTTTCATTTTAAGGCTATGCCATCGTGGTTGGATATTCAAATTTTTTAACAGCTAATGTGTTACAAATTGGATGGAATTCACTAATCACATCATCTGATAATGTAATAAAATCCACTCCTCTCTACTCACCACATGAGAATTAAACATAATCGATATTTAACTAATATGAATTGCACCATGAATGCAACAAAAAGAATTTATGAAGAATAGTGTAAAGAAAGCTTCTAAAATGGAAAATAAACTGACCAAAACAGAATTGAATGCTGGAAGAAAATCCACTTGGTGTGTCACGAGTAAGACCGTCTTCCCTGAAAGAGCTTCCATAACATATTCCTGTCAAAATCAAGCGAGCTTTCAGCATACGATAGCGTCCAAACTGGAATATAATGGAGCAACACAACAGTAGTCAAAAGGTAGTTACATTAAATAGGCTTGTGGCAGTGTGTGCATCAACGGCACTGAATGGATCGTCCAAGAGATATATATCAGCATCCTGATACAGTGCACGGGCAAGTTGGATTCGCTGCTTCTGACCACCACTGAGATTAACACCTCTTTCCCCTATTTCAGTGAGATCTCCGTGGGGTAACAACTCGAGGTCCTTCACCAAAGAGCACTTCTCTAATGTATCTTGGTATCTCTGATTATCCAAGGCTGATCCAAATAAAATATTTTCTCGTATAGTCCCTGTCTGGATCCAAGCTGACTGAGAAACATAGGCAACAGTCCCATATACTTGAATCTGCAGAATAGAGCAAATGGAACCAAATTCACATATATTCATATAACAGGACAAGACAAGACATGCTAAGATTGTTTGTACAGGATTAATATAAAAAGAAATTCAATTGTTTGTGTACTTAAGATGTACTCATTAACTATGAATGAAAAGAAGCAAGGAGTAAGATCTTACAGTTCCCTGGACATTTGGAACCTCGCCTAGGATTGCAGCGAGAAGAGTTGATTTGCCTGAACCGACCTCTCCACATATGGCCACCTTTTCACCAGGTCGAACCTCTAAATTAATATTTCTAAGTGTGGGCTTCGATGGATTCTCTTCCCATGATAGATTGGCAGATTTAATGAAGATGTTGTAGTCTTTCATTTCCATGTTGCATTTTTTCCGGGTGTTTTTATTCTCCAGCTCAGGTGCCTCAAGAAAATTCACAATCCTCGAAAACGCCACGTTTGCTTGAATGACCACCCCAATTACATCAGGGATAGATCTAACAGGTTCCTGAACAAGACGCAAAGTTGCTACAAATGTAAAAACATTACTAGCATATAAAGGTACTCCAAGAAAGTAGCAAGCCCCAAAAGTGGCGGTTGAGACCAATACAGGGGAAGACCAAAAGAGAAAGCTATTGTATGATTTACGCAACTGAACTGCTGATAACCATTTATATTCTACTTTCCTCAAGTTTTCGATGACATTCTTGAAATGACTTTCCCACGCATATAGTTTCAAAACTTTCATGCTCACGAGAGCCTCTGAACTAGCCTTGAGCCGCTCATCTTGGGCCACCATGAGCCTAGACTGGAATTTATGCTGTAATTTAGCGAGGGGAGTATTGCAAAGCACTGTGAGAATTATCACCACCAAGGCTGCAATAGTCGCAAGCCCTACTGCACGAAACAAGATTATCAAAGCAAAGCAGAGCTGGAGGCTTGTAGTCCAAGTTTGATGAAACCAATAAGGAAACTCTCCAATCCGATAAGCATCTGTGGAAACATAGTTCATTATCTCGCCAGCTGAGTGTGTGGCCTTAGCAGCATTGGATAGTCTTAATTGCTTCTTATAAATGGCTGCTGTTAGCAAAGACCTTACTTTTAGACCAATAAGTCTGCTTCGAAAGTACCACTGCCTTTGCGCCAAGGACTCTATGCTCTTTGAAAAGAAAAGAGAAATGGCCAACACATATCCCTCATATTTAAAACTTTCGTTACCTTCAGCTACTTCAATGAAAGCATTGAGAAGCAGTGGACCAGCAGAGATGGTAATGATCTTTAGTAGTGCAAAGAAACCAGACACTAAAATCTCCGTCCAGTGGCATATAACTATTGTCCTCCAAATTGAAGGTTGAGATGACGGATCAATTTGTTTTTGCTTATTAAGTTGCTCCATGAATAGCAAGTAACACGCTTCTGCTCGATCTTCCTCACGCAATTTGGGTATATCTTCATTGTTAAGAGTTTTCTCCTTGCCCCTTTTCATCAATGGGTTCAACCACCAAAACGACATAATACTTAAAAACCCAGCTTTGGAAAATGGATTTATGGTAACAGGCTCAGTTTTAGTGCTTCCATTGGCCTCACCATTCAAGGGGGTGTAACCAGTCTCATCAATTTCTTCATATTTGTAGCCCTTGTAAGTGCATACTAACAATAATATTGCTCCAACAAAAGAAAGGACATCTAAAGCTACCTTAGTTGACACTTGTTTGTTAGAAAGGGCAGCAAAGACTGACAAACCAAAAACAATTCCGGCAAACACGAAGGCAAGAATTGACAAAAGCCTCAACGGACCTTTTGGAAAATGTTTTCCTCTAAGGCTTACGGTTAAGCCCAATGACAACCATGCGAATCCATGAAACAGAACTAGAAACCACCAATGTAGAGGTAAAACAGTATGGGACAACCTTAACCTCTCCTCTAACATCCAAATACCAAAGCCCAGGTATAACAATCCCAAAACACCATTAAAAACGGCAGTTATAATCTGCAAACGTGAATTTCCATGAACGTGGCCCGGAAAGTATGCAGACTTTGATGATTTCTTCTGAATCACATTGAATAAGAGCATAATCAAGAGCAATGCATCAAAGCAAATGATCAATGCATGGTTGACACATGACAAAGGTTGTGTCACCATTGAAAAATCAGTGTCGCAAGGCGTTCCATTGACAGCCGAACAATCAGATTTTCCACAAAACACAGTCCACAGGCCCTCCATTTCTTTTTCTCAGTACTTTTTTTTTTCTTTCCCCCCAGCAAACTCTGCAATTACACACAAGAAATGTATTCAGAAGATAAAAAAATTATATTTTTTATTACATCATTGTAGGGTCTAAACAGAGTAAAACGTATATAATGACTAATTGAGATAATGAACTAAAACCTCCTTGTTTACCATGAGAAAGAAGAAGTAGAAAAGCTTAACCACTATTGCAAAGATTGAAAGGCTTCTTTAATGGAATTGATTTTAAACTAGAAATGCTCTCTCATTGAGCATAGAGACAGAGAGAAAGAGAGAGAGAGAGAGAGAGAAGAAATAACATGGTTTGTGGGTGGTGTTGTCAGATTCTTCTCTCTCTACAAAGAAGCTTACAAAAAGTAGTTCAAGAATCAAAACTCAAAGCACCGACAACATACCGAAAGTGGCCAAAAAATGCAGGGCCTTTTTTTGATTCTCCTGTCAAACCTTTTTTGGCAGAGCTTTCTGCACATTCATCCACATTAAACCAAAACGCTCCAATTCCAAAAGTTTCAACACTGAGAAAAGAGAAGAAAGACATGATAAAGAGTTTCATGGGTATAATATATGCATCTACATATATACGTATAGTGAGAGAAAGACATCATAAATTGCAGAACAACCATTTGCATGTTCCCAAAAAAAAAAAAAAAAAAAAAAAAAATCAATGGAAGAGAATAAAAGAAGAAGAGATTAGAATGTCAAGGAATAAACAAAAAAGGAAAGAAAAAAAAAAGAAAAGAAAAAGAAAGAAAGCATTGGAAACGAAACAAGATTGACAAAACCCGTAATCAAACCCAGATAGGATTTGTTGGTAAAAATGATTAGAAAGACTTTACCGCCACAATTATTGAACAGGCAATATTTGATATTGAGGAGGGTTTTTCCTCATACGAGTGGAAAAGAAAGTGAGGAGGAGGATGATTATATAGACATGACACATACATCAATTCAGATTATGTCTGTGAGGTTCGGGTTAGAGGGAGGAATATGGAAAGTGAGAAATCGTCATGGCTCACGTCTGTTGGAGAAGGAAGGAGGGACATGTGGGTGAGAATGTGTTTGTCTTGTTGCCCTCTAAAAAGGGTATACAGCTATATAATTTTTTAATTATAATTTAAAATATTAAAATTATATTATTATTTTTAAATTATAAAATATATGACGCACATGTATGCTTTGTTTGAGATATTTTAAAAAAGTAAAAAAAATTAAAAAATTAATATTTTATTTAAATTATATCATCTTATTTAAATGATATAATTTTTTTATTATATCATTTTAAACTTAACTCATATTTTATAAAAAGTTAGAAGAGATACTTATAAATAACATCTAAACAACCCCTTAAAGAGTACAAGTGGTGGTGTCTTTCAATTTTCCTTTTTCTTTCTTTTCGGTCAGATTTGTCGTCTTCATGTATTGTTTGTGATTCGTGATTTGATGTACATAAGAGGCGTGCCTAAATGTGATACAGACACATCAAATGCATATATCTATATACCATGATATCTGATAGGAAAAGAGGAGGAGGGTGGATTTGGGGAGCGTAGAAAGCGTTGCTTCTACGCCGCGGTCAATGCCCTCTTCGATCGTAAGATGGATACCATGCCGCACGGGAGTAGCTCTTCACTGGCTCCACCCTCTTTATACCTTTCAAGATTTTAGTTCGTGGTGGTGATTCAAAATGTTTATTAGGTAGATTTTGAAATTGTAACATATATATATATATATATACATAAATTTTTTAAAAATTAAATAAAGCCTTGAGAAATTTGGGATCTAAAACCAGAGTTTTGTTGACTATATATGGTTGAATCCAGGAAAGAGGCATTAGTTTGAGAAAGGAAAATAAACCTGAGATATGTGAAGCTTTACTCCCGGATCAAGTTGGCAAGTGTATTGTGAGCCAGGTTTGACTTCAATCCCTGTAAAATAAAACAAAATAAAATAAGGAAATGATATAGAAGATCATTTTCTAAACCCACTTTCTAGAGCACACAAGACTAGCATCATGATGTCCCATTGAAATCAAAACCAATTTGATGCATTTTGATGTCCCATTGAAATCCCCTTCCATGATAAGACCACAAAAGAAATAAAAATAAAATAATAATAATAATAATAATAATAATAAAATCCACTTCAAATATCTTTAGCTCTTTGACCCACTTTAGTGCGTATTCGGCTCTAACTCCCTACTTACGGGTCCGAATTACATTCCGTCAGTTCTCACAAGTCCTATTTGTCATGGGGAAACTGTCCGTGTCAGTCGCACGGTGGTTCGGGGGCTGTTATGAATTTAGAGATAACTATGCGGCAATGAGGTGCGGGTCAGGGGATAGCGCGAATAATGCAATGAGACGAAAAAATGCGCAAGAGTTAAGTGTGGCAACAAAAACCTGACGCAATTGGAGGGTTTTGGCGCAAGATAGCGGATGAAAAAGCGGGCATGGGCAAAAGGATGCAAGTAAGAAGTGGCACAAATTTGCGCAATGAGGTGCCGGCAAGATAGCGCAATAAAAATGCATGCCAAAAATATTGCAAGTAGTGTGGCAGCAAAAACTGCCGCAATGAAGGTTGGCGCAAAGAAATGGCGCGAATAAAATGCATGCAAAATGCAAGTAGAAGTGGCACAAACTTGCCATGAGGTGCCGGGCAAGATGGGCGCGATAAAATGGCATGCAAAATGCCAAGTGGAGTGGCCAACAAAACCTGCGCAAAGTGAGGTGGCGCAAGGATGGTCGCGGATAAAATGCATAGATGCCAAAAATGGCAAGTAGTGTGGGGGCACAAAACTGCAACAATGAGGTGCGGAAGATGGCGGCGCGAATAAAATGCCATGCAAAATTCAAGTTATTGGTGGGCACCAAACTGCGGCAATGAGGCGCGCAATATTTGCCGGCGATAAAATTGCGTGGCAAATGCAAGTTTGTGGAGCAGCAAAAACTGCGCAATGAGGTTGCGGGCAAGGCTAGCGCGATCAAATGCAATGCCAAAATGCCAACTAGTGTGCAACAGAACAGCGCAATGAGGTGCGCAAGATGGCGCGATAAAAATGCTATGCAAAATGCAAGTAGTGTTGCCCATAACGGCGCAGGTGGGGTGCTGCAACATAAGCGCGTAAATGCTATGCAAAATGCAAGTAGTGTGCACAAAACTACGCTTTCTTTCCTGTCGGGTTCGGCCTCCGTTGGTTGGCTCTTTTTGGCCGTAATGGAAGAGAGAGAGAGAGAGAAGAAATAACATGGGTTTGGGTGGTGTGGTTTGCAGATTCTTCTCTCTCTACAAAGAGAGCTTACAAAAGTAGTCAAAATCAAAACTCAAAAAGCACGGAAACAACATGAACCGAGTGGCCAAAAAATGCAGGCCTTTTTTTGATTCTCCTGTCAAACCTTTTTTGGCAGAGCTTTCTGCACATTCATCCACATTAAACAAAACGCTCCAATTCCAAAAGTTTCAACACTGAGAAAAGAGAAGAAAGACATGATAAAGAGTTCATGGTATAATAATGCATCTACATATATACTATAGTGAGAGAAAGACATCAATAAATTGCAGAACAACCATTTGCATTGTTCCAAAAAAAAAAAAAAAAAAAAGAAAAATCAATGGAAGAGATAAAAGAAGAAGAGATTAGATGTCAGGAAATAACAAAAAGGAAAGAAAAAAAAAGAAAGAAAAGAAAGAAAGCATTGGAAACGAAACAGATTGACAAAACCCGTAATCAAACCCCAGATAGGATTTGTTGGTAAAAATGATTAGAAAGACTTTACCGCCACAATTATTGAACAGGCAATATTGATATTGAGGAGGGTTTTCCTCATACGAGTGGAAAAGAAAGTGAGGAGGAGGATGATTATATAGACATGACACATACATCATTCATATTATGTCTGTGAGGTTCGGGTTAGAGGAGGAATATGGAAAGTGAGAAATCGTCATGGCTCACGTCTGTTGGAGAAGGAAGGAGGACATTGTGGGTGGAAGTGTTTGTCTTGTTGCCCTCTAAAAAGGGTATACAGCTATATAATTTTTTAATTATAATTTAAAATATTAAAATTATATTATTATTTTTAAATTATAAATAATTGACGCACATGTATGCTTGTTTGAGATATTTTAAAAAAGTAAAAAAAATTAAAAAATTAATATTTTATTTAAATTATATCATCTTATTTTAAATGATATATTTTTTTTTATTATATCATTTTAAACTTAACTCATTTTATAAAAGTTAGAAGAGATACTTATAAATAACATCTAAACAACCCTTAAAGAGTACAAGTGGTGGTGTCTTCAATTTTCCTTTTTCTTTCTTTTCGGTCAGATTTGTCGTCTTCATGTATTGTTTGTGATTCGTGATTTGATGTACATAAGAGGCGTGCCTAAATGTGATACAGACACATCAAATGCATATATCTAATATACCATGATATTGATAGGAAAAGAGGAGAGGGTGGATTTGGGAGCGTAGAAAGCGTTGCTTCTACGCCGCGGTCAATGCCCTCTTCGATCGTAAGATGGATACCATGCCGCACGGGAGTAGCTCTTCACTGGCTCCACCTCTTTATACCTTTCAAGATTTTAGTTCGTGGTGGTGATTCAAAATGTTATTAGGTAGATTTTGAAGTAGTAACATATATATATAATATATATAAATTAATCGGATATTAATAAATATATTATTTATTATATTTTTATTTTATAAAATGAATAATTTAAATCAAATCATATTTATTATAATTTTAATTAATATGTCGATCATGTTATCAATTATATATATATATATATATATATATATATATATATATATATATATTCTTTTGTTTTGATTTACAAAATAAACGATTTGAATGCGAATCAGAGTTTCGTGGACTCATAAAGTGAGTCTTATTGAAAAGAGTTGTTCTTGTGCCACACACATAGGTCATGTTGTTTAGTTTTATAGGATGGGAGGATTAAGAATATAGTATGATTGAGTAAGAAAATTATTATGTGATAGTATTAAGTTGGAGATAGTAAGAATGATGGTTTGTACACCACCAAATTAATAATACTATAGATAGTATTAATATATTTAAATTATATTTTTTTATTTTTTGTATTTTTAATATTATAATTATTATTTTTTATTCTAAAAATATAAATTTTGCATAAAAATTATTTAAAATTCATTAAATATAAAAAGGGTAAAATGATTTTTTAATTTCAATCCAAGGAGAATGGATTAACATCCCA